GGCCTACCAGGCAACGGGACACCGATAATGTTGTTCATCCTACGGACTTTCTAATTACTGTGTATTTCGTATATGCAGTAACTTAAAATAATTTCACAGTCTCAGTCTCTCAACCAACAATATGTCTCACTCACTACTGTGTCCTCTTTCAGATGAGGAAATTATATCAAATATTTCTCATAAAGTACATGACACCCATTCCTCTGTAGATTATAATTCCTCTGATAAACATTTATGTAGATTACAATTGTTCTGTAGTTTGTACCCATCGCTCAGTTAATCTCAAAGGCCGGAAAGAGCTGCCAGACTTTCGCTCTCACACAACTGAGGCATCAAATCTGCAAGGTTAATGCAAAAAAAAGTCGGCTCTCTATATGTAACTCTCCTACTCCTGCCTCCTTATAACCTTCTAATACAGAGTAATAATAATATTTATTTTTACAAGTACATGTACAAGGTATACAGGTCTAGCTGACATCAAAGATATACTACCATATGGAAAGCAGCTTGTTGTGCAGAGCATTTAGGGCAAATTTGGTGAATTTTGCCCAGGATGCGACCCACACCAGTCGACTAACATCCAGGTACCTATTTTACTGATATATGAACATGGACAACAAGTGCCTTAAAGCAACATGTTCTAATATTCCCACCCGTACCGGGGATCGACCCCCGGACCTAGGTGTGTGTGTGTGTGTGTGTGTGTGTGTGTGTGTGTGTGTGTGTGTGTGTGTGTGTGTGTGTGTGTGTGTGTGTGTGTGTGTGTGCGCGCGCGCGCCGAGTTTAATAAAAAAAATAGACTACTTACTTGTAACTTTTCTACTCATGCCTCTTTAGAACCTAATTCAGTTTTACCACACACACACACACACACACACACACACACACACACACCAAAAATCTTTGATGGACTATTAGCCACTATCACCAGTGCCTGACTTCCCTAATCATTCGCGTACACAATATTTTTTTCTCTTTAAGCAGTGTCCGAACCCCAATGGAAGTAAGACTTTTTTGGGTTATCCCAGGTTGTCTACACATATACTGCTATGTATAATAAGCTATGTAACTATTTGTGTATACCTGAATAAACCTACTTACAATGGAATATTTGTCGAATATTTGTCTCCAAGACACGATACTTGTCCAGGTTACTGACCTTCCTGTCCCTGTCTTCTAGTATCTCCAGTCTTACCCCGATACCTCATATAATGTTTACTGCCAGTGAGTGGATGTCACTGTCTGGCTTTATTTGGGTTATCATAGGTAATTTACACTGATAATTGTACTTATTATGTGTACCTGTGTCTTAATAAACTAACTTATCAGTGCGCTTTGATATTCCGTTTATTATTAATATTATTATCAATGTTAATCTTTATTTGTACAAGTTTACCCAAACTTCATTACACTTGGTGTTTATTAAGATCTGCTATGCAAAATTCCCTGACATCTTTTATAAGAACATAAAAAAAGGAGAACACAAGAAGACAACAAGAACATAACACAAGAGCACAACCCAAGAACACAACACAAGAGCACAACACATCACAAGAACACAACACATCACAAGAACACAACACAAGAGCACAACACATCACAAGAGCACAACACATCACAAGAACACAACACATCACAAGAGCACAACACATCACAAGAACACAACACATCACAAGAGCACAACACATCACAAGAGCACAACACATCACAAGAACACAGCACATCACAAGAACACAACACATCACAAGAGCACAACACATCACAAGAGCACAACACATCACAAGAACACAACACAACACAAGAGCACAACACATCACAAGAGCACAACACATCACAAGAACACAACACAACACAAGAGCACAACACATCACAAGAGCACAACACATCACAAGAACACAACACAACACAAGAGCACAACACATCACAAGAACACAACACAACACAAGAGCACAACACATCACAAGAGCACAACACATCACAAGAACACAACACAACACAAGAGCACAACACATCACAAGAACACAACACAACACAAGAGCACAACACATCACAAGAACACAACACAAGAGCACAACACATCACAAGAGCACAACACATCACAAGAGCACAACACATCACAAGAACACAACACATCACAAGAGCACAACACATCACAAGAACACAACACAACACAAGAGCACAACACATCACAAGAACACAACACAAGAGCACAACACATCACAAGAAACAACACAACACAAGAGCACAACACATCACAAGAACACAACACATCACAAGAACACAACACAAGAGCACAACACATCACAAGAACACAACACATCACAAGAACACAACACAAGAGCACAACACATCACAAGAGCACAACACATCACAAGAGCACAACACATCACAAGAACACAACACATCACAAGAGCACAACACATCACAAGAACACAACACAACACAAGAGCACAACACATCACAAGAACACAACACAAGAGCACAACACATCACAAGAACACAACACAACACAAGAGCACAACACATCACAAGAACACAACACATCACAAGAACACAACACAAGAGCACAACACATCACAAGAACACAACACATCACAAGAACACAACACAAGAGCACAACACATCACAAGAGCACAACACATCACAAGAACACAACACATCACAAGAACACAACACATCACAAGAACACAACACATCACAAGAGCACAACACATCACAAGAGCACAACACATCACAAGAGCACAACACATCACAAGAGCACAACACATCACAAGAACACAACACAACACAAGAGCACAACACATCACAAGAGCACAACACATCACAAGAACACAACACAACACAAGAGCACAACACATCACAAGAACACAACACAACACAAGAGCACAACACATCACAAGAGCACAACACATCACAAGAACACAACACATCACAAGAGCACAACACATCACAAGAACACAACACAACACAAGAGCACAACACATCACAAGAGCACAACACATCACAAGAACACAACACAACACAAGAGCACAACACATCACAAGAACACAACACAACACAAGAGCACAACACATCACAAGAGCACAACACATCACAAGAACACAACACATCACAAGAGCACAACACATCACAAGAACACAACACAACACAAGAGCACAACACATCACAAGAACACAACACAACACAAGAGCACAACACATCACAAGAGCACAACACATCACAAGAACACAACACATCACAAGAGCACAACACATCACAAGAACACAACACAACACAAGAGCACAACACATCACAAGAGCACAACACATCACAAGAACACAACACAACACAAGAGCACAACACATCACAAGAACACAACACAACACAAGAGCACAACACATCACAAGAGCACAACACATCACAAGAAACACAACACATCACAAGAGCACAACACATCACAAGAACACAACACAACACAAGAGCACAACACATCACAAGAGCACAACACATCACAAGAACACAACACAACACAAGAGCACAACACATCACAAGAACACAACACAACACAAGAGCACAACACATCACAAGAGCACAACACATCACAAGAACACAACACATCACAAGAGCACAACACATCACAAGAACACAACACAAACAAGAGCACAACACATCACAAGAACACAACACAAGAGCACAACACATCACAAGAACACAACACAACACAAGAGCACAACACATCACAAGAACACAACACATCACAAGAACACAACACAAGAGCACAACACATCACAAGAACACAACACATCACAAGAACACAACACAAGAGCACAACACATCACAAGAGCACAACACATCACAAGAGCACAACACATCACAAGAACACAACACATCACAAGAGCACAACACATCACAAGAACACAACACAACACAAGAGCACAACACATCACAAGAACACAACACAAGAGCACAACACATCACAAGAACACAACACAACACAAGAGCACAACACATCACAAGAACACAACACATCACAAGAACACAACACAAGAGCACAACACATCACAAGAACACAACACATCACAAGAACACAACACAAGAGCACAACACATCACAAGAGCACAACACATCACAAGAACACAACACATCACAAGAACACAACACATCACAAGAACACAACACATCACAAGAGCACAACACATCACAAGAGCACAACACATCACAAGAGCACAACACATCACAAGAGCACAACACATCACAAGAACACAACACAACACAAGAGCACAACACATCACAAGAGCACAACACATCACAAGAACACAACACAAGAACACAACACATCACAAGAGCACAACACATCACAAGAGCACAACACATCACAAGAGCACAACACATCACAAGAACACAACACAACACAAGAGCACAACACATCACAAGAGCACAACACATCACAAGAACACAACACAACACAAGAGCACAACACATCACAAGAGCACAACACATCACAAGAACACAACACAACACAAGAGCACAACACATCACAAGAGCACAACACATCACAAGAACACAACACAACACAAGAGCACAACACATCACAAGAACACAACACATCACAAGAACACAACACAAGAACAACGCAAGAACAGCACAAGAACACACCACAAGAACAACACAAGAACACAGCACAAGAACGCAACACAAGAACGCAACACAAGAACACCACGAGAACACAACACAAAAACAAAGCACAAGAACACAACACAAGAACGAAGAAAAACTGCAGCAAACCTTCCATGCTAGGCAGATCTAACCTCCTGTCCATCAATACTCTAGCCACTACTCTCTCTCTCTCTCTCTCTCTCTCTCTCTCTCCATTCAACAGTCTTACATATTTTTTTCAAGTCCATAATTTTTTGTAAGAAAATTTATCCTTTTGAAAAAACACAAACTTATTGTTACTGCACATTTAAAAGAAAAAAAACTCATTTTCAACTTCCAATTGCATGACATGAAACCAGTAAATAGTAATTATAATGTGTTTTATTGTGCAAGAATACAGCAATACAACTAATAAACACTGTATAACACGTACAGTATCACTGTAAACCCTGTATAACACGTACAGTGCCACTGTAAACCCTGTATAACACGTACAGTGCCACTGTAAACCCTGTATAACACGTACAGTGCCACTGTAAACACTGTATAACACGTACAGTACCACTGTAAACCCTGTATAACACGTACAGTGCCACTGTAAACCCTGTATAACACGTACAGTGCCACTGTAAACACTGTATAACACGTACAGTTACAAATCTCTGAGACATACATTTACTTAATATTATGCAATAATCGTGAAGAAGCGACACAAGATGCAAAATAAACATAGGGATAACTGAACGATAGCTCTAGGCCTTTTGTGTTGCAGTCAACACATCTGGAGTTTGTAATGTTACAGAAATAGAGCAGGAAATCCAGTACGGTTCGTTCATGTAAATGGCTCACCCGTTCACATGAACGAACCTTTCTGGATTTCCTGCTCTATTTCTGCAACATTACAAACTCCAGATGTGTTGACTGCAACACGAAAGGCCTAGAGCTATCGTTCAACCCCCCACCCAACCTAATGTTATTTTGCATACTTAAGAGACATTTTTATCATGGTTGTACATATATAAAAAAATGAAGGGAAAGCAATATAGAGAAAACTATAAATATACCACAAATCTAGTTGAATATACAATACACGGGGTAGTAACACTAGTTTATGCAATACACGGGGTAGTAACACTAGTTTATGCAATACACGGGGTAGTAACACTAGTTTATACAAGATCAGTGTTGCCGTGTTCGACCCCAGGGTCAGTAGGGACAGTAGGCACAGTAATACTGGTGACGTACAGGCTGTGTTCGACCCCAGGGTCAGTAGGCACAGTAATACTGGTGACGTACAGGCTGTGTTCAACCCCAGGGTCAGTAGGCACAGTAGGCACAGTAATACTGATGACGTACAGGCTGTGTTCAACCCCAGGGTCAGTAGGTACAGTAGGTACAGTAATACTGGTGACGTACAGGCTGTGTTCAACCCCAGGGTCAGTAGGCACAGTAGGCACAGTAATACTGGTGACGTACAGGCTGTGTTCAACCCCAGGGTCAGTAGGTACAGTAATACACGTGATGTACAGCATGTGTTTAACAATATTGTCAGTAGATACGGTGATATACTCTTATTTACTATACAGACAGCTTAACCCCAGGTTAGTAGTCACTAGGAAACATTCAGTATAGATTCTTGGTTTGACCCCAGGGATCAGCCAAGGCTGAAGAGAGGTGCTACTGTTTTTGACAGACAATTGTAATATTTAAAAAAGAGCTTTGGTAATACAAGTTATCCTTCATGGATAATGTAATATTACTACATGTTACAATAACAGAAATTTTATGTGATGCTGGGTTACACAATTAAGGAGTACAGAACTCCAGGGAATCCTTGAATGAACCCCTTTACGTATTTACTCTTTAATGGTTTTTCTTTCGTAACAAGTAGTTGAATCAAGGACACTTGTCCTTGATTCAACTACTTTGATATTTCTACTAAAGTTATCCTTTAGTAGAAATATCATCATTCTAGAGATTTGTGATTATAACTAGGTAATGATCCCACAAGATCAAATTTAATATGTTTAATATAAAAGTGTATCTTTCGTTGAGTAATACAATAGTACTGAAGGTACGTGACTTACAGTACTCTTGGTACTATAGTGCTGAAGGTACGTGACTTACAGTACTCTTGGTACTATAGTACTGAAGGTACGTGACTTACAGTACTCTTGGTACTATAGTACTGAAGGTACGCGACTTACAGTACTCTTGGTACTATAGTGCTGAAGGTACGTGACTTACAGTACTCTTGGTACTATAGTGCTGAAGGTACGTGACTTACAGTACTCTTGGTACTATAGTGCTGAAGGTACGTGACTTACAGTACTCTTGGTACTATAGTGCTGAAGGTACGTGACTTACAGTACTCTTGGTACTATAGTACTGAAGGTACGTGACTTACAGTACTCTTGGTACTATAGTGCTGAAGGTACGTGACTTACAGTACTCTTGGTACTATAGTGCTGAAGGTACGTGACTTACAGTACTCTTGGTACTATAGTACTGAAGGTACGTGACTTACAGTACTCTTGGTACTATAGTGCTGAAGGTACGTGACTTCGAGTACAACTTTGAGAATACTTTACTAAAATAATATTCTCAGACATAAGTCTTACATAATTTATATATGTATGAAAGTTTCAGTAATTGTCAAGTACAAGTAATACCTTGACGTGGCTAGACTCTTACTCAAGCCAAAACAAGATTAATCATAATTCTTCGAATAATATATTCGTTCAAACATAGTTACCTAACAAGCAAGAAGTTACACAAAGGTAAAGAAATATGTCGAAACATCAGAATATAACAATCACAACGGAGCAGGAACAAAGATAAAATTATCAAACCCAGCAAAGATCTTCAAAAGAATCTCTATGGAAGTCGTACCACTCCATGCCGGACTACGGTAATACGTAAAAACCATACAGTTCAACCCAAAGCTTTACTTTAGAATATCAGAAAGAACCACAACCTTAATATCAAAATCACTATATTGGAATACTTCTGTTTTTTTCCGCAATATTCAGAGTATCGAAACAGGTTTTCCGGCTCACCATGGAAACCTCTAAACCCAAAACTCGATCAAAAATAAAAACATTAGAAAGAGGAGATGTTTCCTGGGCTGGAGGAAGGCAGGGACTGACCTAGCAACGCCTCCAAGCCTTACATTAAATCGGTTCACGGGACACCCCCCGAGACACCGATTTACCCTAACAATGTTACGGTAGTTAGCAACATAATTCAACACACATCCTACCTATTTATATAGCTAATAATATAGGGTCAGATAATAATATATAACAAGATATCTTCATTTTAGCTACTAATGAAGATATCAGTAATATAATATTAAGTGAAAAGGAAATTATATACACACAATAATAGTTGTAAACCTCAGTCCCACACAGTGGAAACGACACTACATTTGTAGGATTATTCTAATTATTATATTTGTGGGAACGAGTTAAGTAAAGGTGTTAGAGCTGGCAGAAGGAGAGTGAAGAACGGTACAGTTTTATTAAAGAAAAAGGGGGGTAGCTTTATATTAAAGCTCTCTGGTGTTGTGCAAGGATGAACGTGTGAAGACTGCGGTAGTTGACCTCAGCTCCTCCTCTCCTTACGCCTTCCTCTTTGTATTGGACTGATGAAGCCACTGTGTGGCGAAACGTTTCCTGTATCACAAGGTAGAGGCGGACGTACTCTAATGTAATATATATAATGTTTTATTTATTATATTAGATAATAATGAACTGTCCTCAGAACCTCCAACTAATTACACTCACCTGTGGCTGACAGCTGCTGAGTGTAGTAACCGTATTGATTGATACCAAGACTACCTAATTACTGCACTCATGGATAACTAAAGTCTAATTAACAGTTGGCAATACTCATTAATAACCCATATGGAGACAAACACAGAAGATTAATTGGTCTGTATATTTCGATCACCTTTTGGGATCCTCTTCAGCTCAGATACATAAACATTTACGGGGTGAGGTGGTCGAAATACAGATCAACTAATCTTGAGTGTTTCTGTCTCCATACGGGTTATCATTGAGCAATGTGGTCATCTTTATTAACAGACATAAGTCCTAATGATTTCAGATTCAATATGGATACTTCTGTTGATATATGGTATAACTTAATGTACCGAGATTGAGCGTGTTATGCCATCATCAACCTTCCTTGTAACACTGAGAATCTCACAAGTTAAGGTCAACCACCATTAAAGTTCATCTGGGTTGGAATTTCCCCAAAAAAGAAAGTTTTCAAGAGTCCATATATTGCAATATGTAAGTTTTTATTTACTGTTTAAGGCAGGAAAAGAGCAAAAAGTGTTGCTAGTTAAAATGCAATTTAATGTTACTGCAGTGATTTTGTCACTGATAAAAGCTTTATGACTCACGAAATCGTAATGACACGATTGCAAACAAACCATACCACGGGCGGGATAGAACCCGCGGTCAGAGAGTCTCAAAACTCCAGACCGTGGTGTAGAAATATACACCATATGGTGTAGAAATATACCTAGTTGGACGAATTTTATTGTGGCTAGCTGGTCCAGTGGCTAACGCGACGGTCTGGAGTTTTGAGACTCTCTGATCGCGGGTTCTATCCCCACCCGTGGTATGGTTTGTTTAAAAGCTTTATCATGATGTGAAGATAAATGGTGGTAGTTACTATGCCATTTCCTAAGTTTATATTCCATATGCAGTAATCTCTGGTGAACCATTCAATTTTTTAGTTTACATTAATTTGCTTTTGTTTTGGTAAAGAAACCGTGTTGAAGGTAACAATGACATTCACACTTATATAATAAGAGACGTTGAGAAGAGCGTGATGATCTAGCTTCTGCTGCCTCCGAAAATGGCAAGAATATATAGAAAGAGGTTAATAATATCTAGATACAAGTTGAGAGCAGCGAAGACGTATTCCTCAGGTGAGATAGCAATCCTGTGTTTACCTCCCAGGATCAGCTGTGTGTCGAACACTAAGTAAAACGAGAACAACAGAGCTCCAAGCCAGGCGTACACCATTTGTAATATCCTGTCATTGAAGATTGCTGCGAAGATTCCGAACATGATGAGCGAGGTAACCAGTACTAAGAGCAGCCCGCCCATCACCGTGAAGTCCCATTTTGTCTGCTCGGGAAGAAAAAAAAAACGCTTTAAAAGATGTGTCGTAAAATATGGCATGGATATCACTTAACAAATGTTTGAGAACAATTGTGTTGTAGAGGTGTGAGCTGTGCTAGACCTCTGCAACACGATTGTCCTCAAAGATTTGTTTAGTTATACCATGAATTAAGGAAAGATCCTGGACTTCGCCTTAGTAAACAAAGCAAATGCAATAGTAATTATGAACAAGGTAGATTATAGTGGAAAAATGAACATGTTATTAAGGGGAAGTTACGTGCCTGTTAAAACAAATATACAGGACAAACCACATATGGTTGGAAATCTTTATCTGAAGATTTCCAGCCCCATGTGACTTGTTCAGCACTTTTAAGAGCGCTTGTTTCCGACTGTATTGAATTAAAACAAATATATATAACACGAGGGATTGCGTTCAGAATTTCTAGTGAAAGAAACATCGAGAGTAAGACAAAGAAAATAAAGGCTGACATTACAAAGTGAGTATCGTAGTGACTACAGTTTTTAGTTTAATATCTTAATTATGCACATCATACCCATCCTGTGGGCGGAAGTTAAAATATAACAGAGGTACATAATGGGTCCAGGGACTGAACGTAGTGAATAAGAGAGTAAAACCAGACAACCAACCTGGAAGGCAAACAATGTGAGTGCTCCTGTAACGACAAAAGTGACCACAATGGCCGCTGCAACATCTGGGGCGTCAAATGTTGCACTGCAGCATCCCAGTAGGTAACCCTCACAGATGGTGAAGATGAAGAGAGCAATGTAGTTGTAAGGTGTCTTTCTCCTGAAGTTGCCACAGCAAGCCAGGATAATTACCATAGCAATTGTCAGACCAAAGGCAGACCAAAAGAGAGCATAGTTGGTTGCGGCAAATGTTTGGACGTCTGGCACCCAGACGAAGATGGCGACAATACCGAAGGTGATGATGAGTTGAGCGCTAAGCAGAGCATATACCTTCCTGGGGGGAGATACACTCTTAGAATAATAATAATAATAATAATAATAATAATAATAATAATAATAATAATAATAATAATAATAATATTTATTTCTACAAGTGTGATGAATGGTTTGAAAAACCGACAAGTTGAAGATTGAGACACTTATGCAGCATATGGGAATCTTTATTCAGGAAACGTTTCGCCACACAGTGGCTTCATCAGTCCAATACAAAGAGGAAGGCGTAAGGAGAGGAGGAGTATGAGGTAATCAGTCCCTCAACCTGGAGTCGATGTGTTCAGTCCATCAATCTTGTAGAATGTACAGCATAGGGCCGTAGACGTGGCTTATATACTTATATCCTTATATCCTTACGCCTTCCTCTTTGTATTGGACTGATGAGAGTAAGACACATGTGCAACATCTGGGTATCTTTATAAGATTCCATGATGTTGCAGTGTCTGACAAGTTGTGTACGAATGGTATATAATACCGACAAGATGAGAGTAAGACACATGTGCAACATCTTGTCAGACACTGCAACATCATGGAATCTTATAAAGATACCCAGATGTTGCACATGTGTCTTACTCTCATCTTGTCGGTATTATATACCATTCGTACACAATTTGTATTGGACTGATGAAGCCACTGTGTGGCGAAACGTTTCCTGAATAAAGATTCCCATATGCTGCATAAGTGTCTCAATCTTCATTTCTACAAGTACATGATACAACTGTTACAGACACAGATGACATATTATATAGAAAGTCTTTGGTTATGCAGAGCATTTCAGACAACTTATCCCCCAGGATGCGACCCACACTAGTCATCTAACACCCAGGTACCTACTTCTGCTAGGTGAACAAGGACAGCAGGTGTATAGGACCATAACCAATGTTTCACTGATATAGTGATCACCTGTACTAGTCTTGATGAGGAGTGCTTTGATGCTGGTAAGGGGCTCCTGATCTAAGGAGTTGGAGATATCCTCCCCTTCCTCGGATCAAGCATGATTACCTCACAATTATATATATATTTTATATATAATATATATATATATAATATATATATATATATTTATATAATATATATATATATAAAATAATATATAATTTCAACAATCGGCCGTCTCCCACCGAGGCAGGGTGACCCAAAAAAGAAAGAAAATCCCCAAAAAGAAAATACTTTCATCATCATTCAACACTTTCACCACCGCACATTTTCACTGTTTTTGCAGAGGCTCAGAATACAAAAGTTTAGAAGCATACACATATAAAGATACACAACATATCCCTCCAAACTGCCAATTACCCAAACCCCTCCTTTAAAGTGCAGGCATTGGGAACTTCCATTTCCAGACTCAAGTCCGACTATATGAAAATAACCGGTTTCCCTGAATCCCTTCACTAAATATTACCCTGCTCACACTCCAACAGATCGTCAGGTCCCAAGTACCATTCGTCTCCATTCACTCCTATCTAACACGCTCACGCACGGGTTGCTGGGAAATCCAAGCCCCTTGCCCAAAAAAACCTCCTTTACCCCCTCCTCCTCCAACCCTTTCGAGGACGACCCCTAACCCCGCCTTCCTTTCCCTATAGATTTATATGCTTTCCATGTCATTCTACTTTGATCCATTCTCTCTAAATGACCAAACCACCTCAACAACCCCTCTTCTGCCCTCTGACTAATACTTTTGTTAACTCCACACCTTTTCCTAATTTCCACACTCCATATTTTCTGCATAATATTTACACCGCACATTGCCCTTAGACAGGACATCTCCACTGCCTCCAACCGTCTCCTCGCTGCTGCATTTACCACCCAAGCTTCACACCCATATAAGAGTGTTGGTACTACTATACTTTCATACATTCCCTTCTTTGCCTCCATAGATAACGTTTTTTGACTCCACTACACCTCAACGCACCACTCACTTTTTTCCCTCATCAATTCTATGATTAACCTCATCCTTCATAAATCCATCCGCCGACACGTCAAACTCCCAAGTATCTGAAAACATTCACTTCTTCCATACTCCTCCTCCCCAATTTGATATCCAATTTTTCTTTATCTAAATCATTTGACACCCTCATCACCTTACTCTTTTCTATGTTCACTTTCAACTTTCTACCTTTACACACATTCCCAAACTCATCCACTAACCTTTGCAATTTTTTCTTTAGAATCTCCCATATAGCACAGTATCATCAGCAAAAAGTAACTGTGTCAATTCCCATTTTGAATTTGATTCCCCAAAATTTAATCCCACCCCTCTCCCGAACACCCTAGCATTTACTTCCTTTACAACCCCATCTATAACTATATTAAAACAACCATGGTGACATTACACATCCCTGTCTAAGACCTACTTTTACCGGGAAGTAGTCTCCCTCTCTTCTACACACCCTAACCTGAGCCTCACTATCCTCATAAAAACTCTTTACAGCATTTAATAACTTTACCACCTATTCCATATACTTGCAACATCTGCCACATTGCTCCTCTATCCACTCTATCATATGCCTTTTCATAAATCCATAAATGCAATAAAAACTTCCCTACCTTTATCTAAATACTGTTCACATATATGCTTCAATGTAAACACTTGATCTACACATCCCCTACCCACTCTGAAACCTCCTTGCTCATCCGCAATCCTACATTCTGTCTTATCTCTAATTCTTTCAATTATAACCCTACCGTACACTTTTCCTGGTATACTCAGTAAACTTATTCCTCTATAATTTTTACAGTCTCTTTTGTCCCTTTTCCCTTTATATAAAGGGACTATACATGCTCTCCGCCAATCCCTAGGTACCTTCCCCTCTTTCATACATTTATTAAACAAAAGTACCAACCACTCCAACACTATATCCCCCCCTGCTTTTAACATTTCTGTCATGATCCCATCAGTTCCAGCTGCTTTACCCCCTTTCATTTTACGTAATGCCTCACGTACCTCCCCCACACTTACATTCTGCTCTTCTTCACTCCTAAAGATGGTGTACCTCCCTGACCAGTGCATGAAATTACTGCCTCTGTTTCTTCCTTAACATTTAAAAGTTCCTCAAAATATTCTCGCCATCTACCTAATACCTCCATCTCCCCATCTACTAACTCCCCTACTCTGTTTTTTAACTGACAAATCCATACTTTCCCTAGGCTTTCTTAACTTGTTTAACTCACTCCAAATTTTTTTCTTATTTTCATTAAAATTTCTTGACATGTGCTTCTCCCACTCTATCATCTGCTCTCCTTTTGCACTCTCTCACCACTCTCTTTACCTTTCTTTTACTCTCCATATACTCTGCTCTTCTTATAACACTTCTGCTTTGTAAAAGCCTCTCATAAGCTAACTTTTTCTCTTTTATCACACCCTTTACTTCATCATTCCACCAATCACTCCTCTTTCCTACTGCACCCACCCTCCTATAACCACAAACTTCTGCCCCACATTCTAATACTGCATTTTTAAAACTATTCCAACCCTCTTCAACCCCCCCACTACTCATCTTTGCACTAGCCCACCTTTCTGCCAATAGTCGCTTATATCTCACCCGAACTTCCTCCTCCCTTAGTTTATACACTTTCACCTCCCTCTTACTTTTTGTTGCCACCTTCCTCTTTTCCCATCTACCTCTTACTCTAACTGTAGCTACAACTAAATAATGATCCGATATGTCAGTTGCCCCTCTATAAACATGTACATCCTGGAGCCTACCCATCAACCTTTTATCCACCAATACATAATCTAATAAACTACTTTCATTACGTGCTACATCATACCTTGTATATTTATTTATCCTCTTTTTCATAAAATATGTATTACTTATTACCAAATTTCTTTTCTACACATAGCTCAATTAAAAGGCTCCCCATTTACATTTACCCCTGGCACCCCAAATTTACCTACTACTCCCTCCATAACATTTTTACCCCACTTTAGCATTGAAATCCCCAACCACCATTTACTCTCACACTTGATTCAAAAACTCCCCACGCATTCACTCAACATTTCCCAAAATCTCTCTCTCTCCTCTACACTTCTCTCTTCTCCAGGTGCATACACGCTTACTATAACCCACTTTTCACATCCAATCTTTATTTTACTCCACATAATCCTTGAATTAATACATTTATACTCCCTCTTTTCCTGCCATAGCTTATCCTTCAACATTATTGCTACTCCTTCTTTAGCTCTAACTCTATTTGAAACCCCTGACCTAATCCCATTTATTCCTCTCCACCGAATATGTAAAACTTGCGATCTTGGCTTAAATAGCAACGCTCAAATTGCCATATAAGACAAGCGAAAATTTGTGTATGCAATAATTTTGCAAAAATCATTCTGAACCCAACGAAAAAAATATATTTCACTGTGTTTGTTTAGTATTAAATTATCGTAAACTAATTTAAAAAATTATATTTAAAATTTTAGGTAAAAAATGATGTAAAATGGTAAAATTTTTTCATTCTTTTTGATAATTTTAATTTTTTACAATACATTAATTGAAAATATATTTAAGTTTAAAAAAATTTAAAAAAATAATTTTAAATTAGGTTTTTTAAGTTTTTAATTTGGGGAAAAACCATTTTATATATATATTTATATATATATTTTATAATATATATATTATATATATATATATATATATATATGGGATGGGGCCACCTCTGTGTAAATTGTTGGGACCATAGCTCGGAGAAGTGATAAATATATAAATATATATATTTATATATATATATATATATATATATTAATATATATATAGATATATATAAAATTTTTATATTAATATATATAATATAATATATATAATATATTAATATATATATCAGTACACAGATTTATCCCACAAGGCTAACTTACTCTGGCGTTGTGTACTCTGAAGTTTAACTTTCTTGTACTTTAACTGTTTTAACTTTTAAAGTTTAAATATAACAAGGACCGTAATGGTAATAAGTCACTTTGACTTTTGGGGTAACTTACACACATGTTATTATGTATGATATTAGTGTAACTGAATTTATGTGTACCTGTGCCTAAAAAAACTTACTCTGAGTCCCTAAACCCACTACTCCCCACTCCCTATAACACTCCCACATGGTATTGCTGTTCCAGCTCCTCCCACACACCTTCACTCCCTCTCTAATCTCACAGAGATGTGAAAATAAGACACAAATGAAGTATAATGCGAGCCTTTGTTGAGAGGGTCGCATTATGTGTCTCTCTTCTTCCACCGTCTTGGTATTGTGTGTCATTTGTCTCCTTACAGTGATGTCCCGTAGCCTGGTAGGTAGCGCTCTCGCCTCACACGCTGAGTGTCAGTGGTACGATCCCCGGTACGGGTGGAAATATTGGTCGTGTTTCCTTAGGACACCTGATGTCCCTGATCACCTAGCTGAAGTAGGTACCTGGGTGTTAGTTAACTGGTGTGGGTCGTATCCTGAGGGACAAAATTAACCTAAGTTGCCCGGAATGCTCTGCATAACAAGGGGCTTTCTTATGTATGTCATTGATTCATTTTGGGTCTGTATAGTTGTATCACGACTTGTGAAAATAAAGTTATTATTATTATTATTATATATTATTATTATTATTATTATTATTTTATATATTATTATTATTGCATCTTCTCAATTCATAATTTAAAACGAACTCTCTGTAAATACCATAATCTTTATTTCCGTATTGCTGAAGAGGATTCAAATGGTGATCGACGTATTACAGCTCCTACATTTCGTGTTTCTGTGTGTGTGACTAGGAGTCAAAGCGCCAGGATGTGTGTGGCTTTAAGTTGGGGATACAATGAGGTTATAGGTTGTTGTGGGGTAGGGGACTAATTGAGGTTATAAGGGTTTGTGTGTGTGGTGTTAAGTGGGACTAGAGTTATAAGGGTGTGTGTGGTGTTAATGGGACTATGTGTTTAAGGGTTGTGTGTGGTGTTAATGGATATGAGGTTTTTGGGTTGTGTGTGGTGTTAAGTGGGACTAATGAGTTTTAAGGGTTGTGTGTGGTGTTAGTGGGGACTATGGTTATGGGTTGTGTGTGGTGTTAAGTGGATTTAATGAGGTTATAAGGGTTGTGTGTGGTGTTAAATGGGACAATTGAGTGGTATAAGGGTTGTGGTGGTTTTAAAGTTGGGAAAGAGGTTTTAAGGTTGTGTGTGGTGTTAAGTGGGATCAATGGTTTAGGGTTTTGTGTTTGGTTGTTAATTGGACAATGGGTTAAAGGTTGTGTGTGGTGTAAGTGGGATAATTTGATGGTTATATGGTTGTGTGTGGTGTAAGTGGGACAAATGAAGGTTATAAATTTTTGTGTTGGCTTAAATGGGACTAATGAAAGGTTATAGGTGTTGTGTGTGTGTTTAGGGGAACAATAAAGTTTAAAAAAGAGTGTAACCCTGGAAGTGGGTTTTAAATTTTCCCCGAAATTACCACCAAATGTGGCCCCTTGTAATAATAAACAGTATTTGGAAAAGGGAAAGAAAAGATACTGGTTTCATGTGTTACTCCAGGTGATGAATGTGTCTTGATTTTCACGATTCATGGATCTTACTGTAGCCAGCTGGTCCAGTGGGTAAAAGCCACTGGCCTGGAGTTTTACGACTCACTCGCCCAAAAGTTCAATCCCACCAGACCGTGGTTGTAAGCAGTTTAGTGGAAATATGAGCATGAAGAAAATAAGACTCACCTGATGAAGCCCAGTCTTACGGACTTCTCGGAAAATTCAAATTCTCCACCGATTCCAGGATCAGCAAATTCAGCAGACGCCATGTTGTAAGTTATACTGCAGCTTTCCTCCTTTCAGTCCTCTCGCTGCTGTTGTTGCTTGCAGGTCTTCCTGTTGCTGTTGTTGCTTGCAGGTCTTCCTGTTGCTGTTGTTGCTTACAGGTTTTTCCTGTTTTCTGTTGTTGCTTGCAGGTCTTCCTGTTGCTGTTGTTGCTTGCAGGTCTTCCTGTTGCTGTTGTTGCTTGCAGGTCTTCCTGTTGCTGCTGTTGCTTGCAGGTCTGTGTTGCGGGTGTTGCTTGCAGGTCCTTCCTGTTGCTGCTGTTGCTTGCAGGGCTTCCTGTTGCTGCTGTTGCTTGCAGGTCTTCCTGTTGCTGCTGTTGCTTGCAAAGGTCTTTTCCTGTTGCTGCTGTTGCTTGCAGGTCTTCCTGTTGCTGCTGTTGCTTGCAGGTCTTCCTGTTGCTGCTGTTGCTTGCAGGTCTTCCTGTTGCTGTTGTTGCTTGCAGGTCTTCCTGTTGCTGTTGTTGCTTGCAGGTCTTCCTGTTGCTGCCTGCGTCACACTTACTCTTGATAAGGGAATTTCTGTGTAGTTGTTAGTGGTATGTTTTCCCAGATAACTTGAAGGTTATGATGCTGCAATAAGATAACTGTTATTAGTATATTCGCATTTTTATTATATATTTTACACACAACCCGCACATAGGAGAGAGGAGCTTACGGCGGCGTTTCGGTCCGACTTGGACCATTTACAAGTCACACTAACACGCGAAGGTGAGGGAACCAGTATAAAAAAAACACCAATTACTTTTGTAAGATTTAAAATCTATCGAGTACACCTATACCCTATTAGTCAAGGAATACTTTAATCGCTAATAGAGGAATTGAAGTAAACTCAGTGTATGTATACTCAAAGATGTATACATTTCGGTGGGAACAATGATGAATAACGGGGTTATAGGCTTATAAAAATTGTACGAAGGTCATTAAGACAGGATGTCACCAATCAAGAATGCTTTATTTTTTAAAATAATAATAATAATAATAATAATAATAATAATAATAATAATAATAATAATAAATAATAATAATAATATATTTATTTCTACAAGTACACGTACAAAGTATACAGTCCTAGCTGACATCAAGGACATACTACTATATAGAAAGCCGCTTGTTATGCTGAGCATTTCGGGCAAATTAGGTCAGTTTTGTCCCAGGATGCGACCCACACCAGTCCACTAACACCTAGGTACCTATTTTACTGATGGGTGAACATAAACAACAGGTGTCTTAAGGAAATACGCCCTCTGTTTTAACCTTCGCCGGGGATCGAACCCGGACCCTCACCATGTGAAGAGAGAGCTTACTGATGACCTGGACGCATATACACAGATAAACACATATTCTGGTATACATATACACATATACACACTTTCTTGTATACATATATACAGATATACACACTGGGTATACATATACACAGATATACACACTTTCTGGTATACATATCTTGAGTCCATGCAGAGATGTACACAGCTCGGAGTATTTTCACCTCTCAGAATATATACACCGGGATACACACCTCTCAGAATATATACACCGGGATACACACCTCTCAGAATATATTTCACCGGATAAAACACCTCTCAGAATATATACACTGGGATACATGCCTCTCAGAATATATACACCGGGATACACACCTCTCAGAATATATACACCGGGATACACACCTCTCAGAATATATACACCGGGATACACACCTCTCAGAATATATACACCGGGATACACACCTCTCAGAATACATACACCGGGATACACACCTCTCAGAATATATACACCGGGATACATGCCTCTCAGAATATATACACCGGGATACATGCCTCTCAGAATATATACACCGGGATACATGCCTCTCAGAATATATACACCGGGATACATGCCTCTCAGAATATATACACCGGGATACATGCCTCTCAGAATATATACACCGGGATACACACCTCTCAGAATATATACACTGGGATACATGCCTCTCAGAATATATACACTGGGATACATGCCTCTCAGAATATATACACGCGATACATGCACCTCTCAGAATAATACACCGGGATACATGCCTCTCAGAATATATACACCGGGATACATGCCTCTCAGAATATATACACCGGGATACATGCCTCTCAGAATATATACACCGGGATACATGCCTCTCAGAATATATACACTCGGGATACCAGCCTCTCAGAATATAAACACCGGGATACACCTCTCAGATATATAACACGGATACATCCTCTCAGAATATATACACGGGATACATCCATCTCAGAATATATACACTGGGATACACACCTCTCAGAATATATACACTGGGATACACACCTCTCAGAATATATACACCGGGATACACACCTCTCAGAATATATACACCGGGATACACACCTCTCAGAATATATACACTGGGATACACACCTCTCAGAATATATACACTGGGATACACACCTCTCAGAATATATACACTGGGATACATGCCTCTCAGAATATATACACCGGGATACACACCTCTCAGAATATATACACTGGGATACATGCCTCTAGATATATACACGGATACACAACTCTCGAATATATACACGGGATACACACCTCAGAATATATACACCGGGATACACACCTCTCAGAATATATACACCGGGATACACACCTCTCAGAATATATACACCGGGATACACACCTCTCAGAATTTTATACACTGGGATACATTGCACTAAGAATATACAACCGGATACACACCTCTCAGATATATCACCGGATACACACCTCTCAGAATATATACACCGGATACACACCTCTCAGAAATATACACCGGGATACACACCTCTCAGAATAATACACTGGATACACCTCTAAGATATATACACTGGATACACACACTCAGAATATATACACTGGAATACTGCCCTCTAGAATATATACACGGATACACACCTCTCAGAATAAACACCGAGAATACACACCCCCAAATATATAACACCGGGATACACACCTCTCAGAATATATACACGAGATACACACTCTTCAGATATAAACCGGATACAACCTCTCAGAATATATACAGATAACACACTCTCAGAATATAACCCCTGGGATACAACACCTCTCAGAATTATACCTGATACACACCTCCAGATATAAAACTGACGATACACACCACTCAGGAACAATATACACCGATCAGATACCCGAATATAACACCTGGATACACACCCTCAGAATATTACACCGGATTTCACACCACTCAGGAAATATATAACTCGGGATACACACCTCTCAGAATTTAAAAGGATCACAAACCCCTCAAATATATACACTGATACACATCCTGATACACGAGATAAACACCTCAGAATTATTACACGGAACACACCTCTCAGAACATATACACCGGATACACACCTCTCAGAATAATATACACCGATACACACCTCTCAGAATATATACACGGATACACACCTCTCAGATATAATACACCGGGATACACACTCTCAATATATACACCGGATACACACCACTCAGATATATACACATAACAACCGCTCAGAATATACTAACTGGATACACATCCTCTCAGAATATAATACACCGATACACACCTCTCAAACAGTATACACCGGATACACCCTCTCAGAAATATACACGGATACACACCCTCAGAATATATACACCGGGATACACACCTCTCAAATATAATACACCGCGGATAACACACCTCTAGAAATTACACCATAACAACCTCCAGAATAATACACCGAACACACCTCCATAAATATATACATCCGGATACCAAACCCCTCAGAATTATACACCGGATACACACCCTCAGACATAATACACCGGAATACACACCTCTCAGAATAAATACACCGGAATACACACCTCTCAGAATATATAAACGGATAAACACAACCCCAGAAATATATACAAAACCCGGAATTAAACACACCGCTCAGAATATTATACAAACCCGTGATACACACCTCTCAAATATATACACACCCGGAATACAACACCTCTCAGAATAAATACACCGGGATACACACCTCTTCAAACATACATAACGTAATACACAACTCCCAGAACATATAACCGGATACACACCTCTCAGAACATATAACACTGGATACACACCTCTCAGATGATATACACCGTGATACACAAACCCCTCGAACTAATACACCGTGAAAACACACCTCTTTGAACATATACACCGGATACACACTCTCAAATATACACGGGATACACACCTCTCAGAACATATACACTGGGATACACACCTCTCAGAACATATACACCGGATACACACCTCTCAGAACATATACACCGGGATACACACCATCTCAGAACATATACACTGGATACACACCTCTCAAAAATATAATACACTGTGATACCACCCTCAGAAACATATACACACGGATACACACCTCGAAACATATAACACCGGATAACACACATCTCAAACATATACACCGGGATACACACCTCTCAGAACATATACACTGGGATACACACCTCTCAGAACATATACACCGGGATACACACCTCTCAGAACATATACACCGGGATACACACCTCTCAGAATATATACACCGGGATACACACCTCTCAAAACATAATACACCGGAACACACCTCTCAGACATATACAACCGGGATACACACCTCTCAAATATAATACACCGGGATAACACACCTCTCAGAATATACACTGGGAAAACACACCTCTCAGAACATATACACCGTGATATCACACCACTACATAATATATACACCGGATACACACCTCTTCAGAATATATACACCGATACACACCTCTCAGAATATAACACTGGGATACATGCCTCTCAGAAAATACACTGGAATACAGCCTCTCGATAATACACTGGATAACAATACCAGAATATAACACTGTGGACACACCCCAAAATATACATGGATACACACCTCCAGATATCCGGATAACACCATCGAATAATAATGTCACATAGAAATAGGATACACACATTCAGATTATGACACTGGGATCACAGTCCTCTCAGGAAAATATACACTGGATCATGCCCTAAATATATGCACTGCAGATATACCAAACTTCTCAGAGTATCACCTCTCAGTAGCAGTCTCAAGATACACCACTCGAAAATATAACACCGAAAACACACCTCTCAGAAATATCAACCGGATAAAACACTCAAAATATAATTACACTGGGATACAGCCTCTAAGATATAACACCGGATACACACCTCTCAGAATATATACACTGGGATACACACCTCTCAGAATATATACACTGGGATACACACCTCTCAGAATATATACACTGGGATACACACCTCTCAGAATATATACACTGGGATACACACCTCTCAAATAATACACGGATACACCCTCTCAGAATATATCACCGGATACACACCTCTCATAACATATACACCGGAAACACACCTCTCAGAATAAAACACTGGATACACACCTCTCAGAAAAATACACCGGATACACACCCTCAGAACATATACACCGGATACACACCTCTCAGAAATATACACTGGGATTCACACCTCTCAG